TGTTGCTAAAGTTTCGTCGGAACGAATTTTACGGAAATTAACTAACGAACGGAGACGTAACAATATGTATAGCTATTTATTACGACGGCTAAGTAAAACCCCGAGAGTATACATGCTCCATTCTTGCAAGAAACCTCGTTTCATTTCTTTATAATGGCGTCATCACGTGACTGGCCATTCTCTCATAACATTTGTAAGTTGTAACACAAACATTATCCACTTGGTCAGTGAAGGATGTTGCAGTCAATGCTCCTTTTATAACTAATATGCAAAGTGGCTTCAGTATCTCCATGGACAAAGTTGATACTGTCCACTGTAGAGAACAACATTTAAATGGTTTTCTGGACCACATGTTTATTCTAAAACTGTATAGAAACAACCTAAATGAAGTTTGCTTTAAATTCTTATGTTACTAAACCTAGTGGTAAAACAGGAAGAACACTTGATATGCCAACATATCACGTATGAAACTTTAAGTTATAAATCATAACACAAAATACTTATTTCAGTAATATTCAAATTAATTGCTGCTTTGGTTAAACTCTGGCTGATGAAAAATTAAACTAAAAATTTATCATGCCATTCAAATATCTATGTATATTATTAATAAAAACTCCGACGTGAAAGCAAAGAAGATTGTACAATAATATACAGTGGTGGAATTGGATAAAAATTACCTGGAAAACCCAATATGACGTAATATCAGACTGTTCTACAGGTTTTCCATCCTTTTTCTCTTTATACTTCTTAAAATTGGAATATAGTAATGTTCAAGAGCGTTTCTAACTTTAACCGTCATTAAGGGTTAATTGTGTGAAGTGAAGATTAGGCACCTTCTTGTCTGACTCTCCTACAATAATAACAACATGCGTTTTCATTTGCATGCCGAGTCAATCTTGCTGGCGACTTATGCATACTTGCAGATGGACTAAACCATCATCTTAGCAGCTCATTGGCTAACTAATCTATCAGGCACTAATCACTGTTTTCTTGTGTGAAAAACTCGGGGTTAATCATCATATTTATAACAGCGTTTGGGTTGAGAGAATAAATTTCATGCATGATTTTACTAAATTTTACATAGATCTTTCTGAACATTTTATGAGATTTTTTACTAGACTTTCACTAAATTTCCACCCAATGTTTCTGTAACTTTCACATCTAAATGGTAAATCTTGAAGTTCTTGCTTTCAACTGCCAATAACAGGCTTGTGTGTTTTTTATAGTTCTGCTTTCCGAGAACTCTTCAGTTTTTCTTATAATCTTAAAGTTAATTTTCACTTTCATTTCGCAGGCGCTCTGTGGCTTTCGCTTATAATTTAGTTAAATATTTAATATTTGCTTAAATTCGCCAATGAGCAAATAGTGTATAAGTTGCTCCACAAGATTTGTAGAGTACAGGTTTTTATTTAAAGTACGGTTTATTATTGTTATTTAATAAGGTGAACTTGTTTTACTAGATTTTAACTTGGGGACACCATGTTTGTCATTATTTTATTTTTATATGTTAGTCTAGGTTACAGGGGAGAGCACACGTACTAGTAAGAGTATATTATTTAGTAATGCTTTCATCATTGTTGCTAATCGCACACCTTTTTGATTTCAAAATACATATAAACATACGATAACTTGCCTTACCTTGAATAATAGTAATTTGTTGTTTTGTAATCTGTCAAAACCTCAATAAAGAATGGTTCCTTGTGTAAAAATCTATGTGTCCTGTCTCGTTCTTTATGGCTTAACTGTTAGAACAGTCGGGGTACACACCCACGCATGATATTTGCGGACCTCCTGTTTTTGCGGGTCCGAAATTTTCTGCTTTACCGGAAATCTTTGAGATACCACAGTGGTCTAATGGCGAGAGTACTAAGGCGAAATGTTTGTTTATGCCAAAGATCAAACAGCCCGGCCCGGCATGGCCAGGTGGTTAGGGCGCTGGACTCGCAATCTGAGGGTCGCGGGTTCGAATCCCCGTCTCACCAAACATGCTCGCCCTTTCAGCCGTGGGGGCGTTATAATGTGACGGTCAATCCCACTATT